TGTACAAAGTTAAAATTTTAAAAAACATCGTATATTTGCTACTTTTAACGCTGGCGTGGCTTTTTTAAAATGTGAAAATATTTTTTGACGTGGTTAAGTATTCGACCTCGAAATCAACAGGCGGGTGTATTAAACGCAATGAAGTGTACAGTTTAAATAAATGGTTATTAAAATTGCTGCGGTAATTATTCTGCTATTTAAAATGCCCGATGTGTTTTATACGATTTTGACTGTATTGTGTGAAAGAGGTATGGCTAGGAAGGGTGTGAATTTGATTATGATCTTTGATAAAGATAGAAGAGGGCAGGAAAATCGTAATTGAATATAGCTTATATTTTTTGCGTTTATTCGTAACAAACAAAAAAAAATTAGCCGTTCCTAATATTTCTATATAGATAGATACAGAAGATAAAGAGGAAATATTTGTATTTTTGTATGTATAGAAATAACTCACAAACTATCTTCCGATTTCTAAAACTCATGCACCATTAAAAAACTACGTAACCACTGAGTATTTATTACAATTTTTCGCACGTGCGAAGATGCAAGCAACAGTTAGTATACTACATTAATGTAGATAAGTACATTTAAATGTTTCTTTTATAGATAATGTGGCAGAAAAACTATAAAGTATGAAATAGCAAAAATGAGATAGGTGAACAATCGGCATTTAAAAGTCTATCCACAGAGATCTTGAATCACGAAGTTGTTTTTTTCCAGCGCATTTTGATTGTATGATATTCAGTTGTACAAGTAAAAAATAAAAATGCGAACAAAAAGATACTATGAATCCAACTCAGGACGCATTGACTGACAGTCCGATAATAATAAAATAGTTGCAGGATGTACGTACTTTAAGAGCAATAACCTTTTTATATTACATTTTTGTTACGTACTAGCTTTGCCCGCGACTCCGTCCGCGTGGTATTTAAAAATATTAAATAACAATTTTGAATAATACTTTTTTTAATAAAAGCCCTACACTTACGTCGCGCTTTAAGCTATATATTTTCACGCCAATAAACTTAAGGGGTAAATATTTTGGATAAAAACCCTAATATGGGAAAGAGACCATAAGTTGCTGCCAACATCAAGGAAGCAAGATTGTCAAAGTTTGTCATGTCATGTCATTTTGACATTTGCTATTGATAATTTGACAAATGTAAACAATAAAATAAAATTTTCATAATTTCATGCGGATGAAGCCGCACGGGAATAGCTAGTTTTACATAAATCAAAATGCTAGCAAAATAGATTCAATCAAAATAACTTTTAAATCAGATTACTTTTACAACGATCACGAATTTTCATGCAACGATGACTATCGGTTAATTACAATTCTTTTGTTTCAGATATCTGCAAAAGCTGTCCCGATGACTCGGCAATAGATGATATCCATGACATTAACTACAAGGTACTTTACAATCTATTCAATATACATAGAGTTGATTTTTCTTTGCCACTTTTTAACTTTTTTATCAAGGAAATTTTACTTGCAATCCCATCCAACCAGATTCAATGTAACTGTGACAATTCGCGATAGAAACAGCTTGAATACACATAAAACTAAACTTAATTTTTGTAACGTACACAACGTTTTTTTACCAGTTACTATACCTTTTCAAACTGAGAGGTTTGCTGGCGTTATAAACACAACCAGTTCAGTGCAAAATACAACCTCTTTGGCTGACAAGAAATATGAATACAGCCAAAGAGGTTGCATACTGGCCACCGAGACTTTTACGTGGTTGTTAAAAAAAGATTAAGTAAAAACAAAAGAAAAAAAGGAAGCGCGTTACAGACAAGATGTGATCGATGTAGTTTTCGGAGATTAATATTGTAAAAATGTAAATAACTTTAAATAAAGTCGTGTTGGTTTATGTAAAAGTTTGTTGTTTTTTGTCTGCCGCGCTGTCGGTATCAAGTTAAACAAACATAACTTAAAGAGAACTCTTTATTGTTAAGAAATGTTTTATGTTTAATTCCCGGTGCGCTTTTCACATTGACAGTAAATGCAACTGTAATTTAAAACATTAGACCGTTGAGAGTAAAGTTGTTTAAAGTAGAACGGGGGTAAACACTTGAGGGCTTAGTGTGGCCAGTTATGGAAACTGAGGTACCTAACGTTTGTTTAAGCGTAACAGCCCATCCTTGGGGTCATTTTCATTACCTACGATGATTTTATAGCGCTGTAAATATTTACACTTTGTTCATAAAACCTTCGCATAGATTATAGTAATTGCTACTTCGTGACTCACCGTACCTCATCTAAAACTCTTACTAACTATACTGATTTATAATTATTAATACCACGAGAGAAACAAGTGAATTAATGTCAATTATTGACCACATTTTCTTTGCAATCAATTTTAAATCTGTGAATTTTGTGAATGAAGAATAAGAGCCACATTAAATAAATCTTCAATAAAGCATAATTTGCTACGTTTTTGTTGCATGAGGTGACAGAGCAAGCAGCTACTTTCGCGGAAATGGCGAAGTGGCATGAACATCTGCAATTGCAAATGCATTGCTTACCTTATTCGACTAAGGACGCACAAATAAAATATATTTCCCTCTCTGATGTGTACCCTCCTCTGCTAAATACACTTACAAAAACATTACCCTTCCCTCCGTCGGGAAAAAAGTGTATTTAAAAAACTGTAGCTTTGAAATTGAGAATGACAAATTAAGGTGCTCCCAGTTTGGTGGAATTAAAAAAAATTGTTTACGTTAGACTTGTTGGCAGATTAAAAGTAAACAAAGTCGGCTTTTTTGTGCGCCAAGTCGAAAACTTTTGGGTAATGAATACAAATACTGGCTTTGAGGCCGATGTGGGTTTGAGGAAGGAAGTTTTATGAAGTAATTTTAAAAAATACGGATAGGTCTAAACGTTATTATATTTCATCTATACTAATATTATAAAGAAAAAGGTTTGTATTTTTTGATTTTTGTATGTATTGGACTCACGTAAAAACTACTGGGCCGATTAAGGTAATCTTTAAAATTTTCGACTTGGCGAATATTATATTTTTATTGTCATTGTTACAGTTAGATTTGATATAATTTCGTTCTGAAACATCGAGAAATAACCGTTAGTCATCTGTTTGAATAACAACACAATCTCTTTTAATATGTTATCTACACGCACAGTGGAAACGCGCAGTTACACTATAAATCTATATTGACATAAAAGAATTGACTAACAAAGGAAAACCATTAAACACGTGGTCGCACTGTTTATAAATAAACATTTACTCTAGCGTAGAACTTGCGTCAGCGCGTTACTCATAAATAGCGTGTGCCCTGGTTAGCCATTTATCTACGATATCACGTTACCGTAATCACATCCAATTGAGTGATTAAAAATGACACAAGCCATTATCGATCCATTTATAGAGACTAGAGTAATATCTGCTTAAAAAAGCAACGTAAAAGCAAAGTGGCAAGTAATAGAGTTGGAATATACGTGACTGTCAAATCTCAGATGAAGAGGTTAGGATAAAACGATGTGCAAGAGACTTACAAAGAAAGCTTACCCTACCACGATATGGGATAATAGTCCAGCGTTGGTGAAAATAGGTCTTACACGACTGGCTGCTTGGAAATGAAGTGACACGTCAAGTCAATATTTTTTTTAATTTGGTTATTTTTCATGTCCTCATGTCATTGCGTCTTAACAGAAATTATTTTACGTACAAGATAACATGTTAATATTACGACGTTGTTTACAAAAGTTTGTTCACAAACCGTATGAATGTTTAAACAATACAAAACAGACCGAAATAGTTTGAGAGTTTGTTTCTGCGTCGCATTATTTTACGTCTCAACGAGTTTATTTACAGTTTAATTGGGAAATCGAATGTTTGCAAAAATGAAATTATTAATAAATGATACTTTTGAAATCTTCAAGTATAGTCTGACCGAAAATATTAAACCTTAGTGAAAAAATATAGATCTATTTTCTTTGTGAACTTAAAAACCGTATATGGGAGAAGCCGAAAAAGATGTTATTAGTTAGACTTCAGTAAAAATAAACATGAAATGGAATAAATCTAAAGATCTTTATTAGTAAATCCTAAAAGACAGTAAAGTACGTATTTTCTATTATTCAAATATTTCAACGTCTAACTTTTAATCATTTAATAAAAATGAAATTTAAAGTTCATCTCTTTAATCAATTCCTTCAATCATTAGAAATAAAATGTTTTAGCTAAAGATGGCTCGGGATCCATTTTATCAAAACTTTATTTACAGATTGCCCAATGAGTTGGAAGAGTTTTATTAGTTCGGACATTATGCAAATTGAGGAAACTGAATATTGGAAATGTAGACAATTATTAGACGAAAATATCTGTATTTTCATCAAATTTTAAAAATAAAACACATGGAAAAATAAAATGCACTACGGATGTAAAGTCGCAGAATCTTACTTCTAACTAATATAAATACGAAAGTTTAGATGGATGGATGGATGTTTGTTAGAGTTTGTAGCCTAAACGGATCTCAATGAAAGTCAGATGTAGAAGATAGCTCAGAAGAACCAGACTACTTATTTTTGTTTTTTTTTTTCTTTTAATTCCACGTGGATGAATCGCGGACAGAAACTAGTTTATAACAAAACAAATTTATACATCCTGAATTCAGTACAATGTTTATTATCAATATTTTCTGTTATCAATGCAGTAAACAGTGCATCCTCTAATTGGTAGTCATTTGTTTATTTAGTGTAGTGACGCAATTGGTATTGTTCACGAGGTTCAGTGTAGGTTTATTTGAAGTTCGAATTAATTTATTGTCTTACAGACAGCGATGTAGTGATTGTTTATTTACTTTGTCGAAGAATTGATAGCAAAATATGAATGAGTATGTAAATTTCTATAAAATTTTTAGTATGAAACAGTACCGAGGCCGGTACTGTTTCGGTCTTATAGGCGAGTCAGGTAAAATGTTGACATCCGTAGGTTTCTCTTCAAGATAATTATATGTTCTTATATAGAAGTTTCTGGAGTGGAAGTCCACTGTAGAATGTTCGTAGTTATTTACTGTATGCCAAAATCTTTGCTATCATACTTCATACTAATATTATAAATGAGAAAGTTTAGATGGATGGATGGATGAATGTTTGTTAGAGTTTGTAGCGTAAACGGCTGAACGGATTTCGATGAAACTTGGCACAGATGTAGGGAATAGTCTGGATGAACACATAGTCACTTTAGTTTTTTTTTTAATTCCACGCGGAAGGAGTCGCGGGCGATAGCTAGTAAACAATACTCGGTTGCATTGTACGTTGTACTTCTAATATAGCGAAGGGCAATGTCTGTACCATGCGTCATACTTGTTTACCTCTGGTGTATCATTCACCTTAATAATATAATCTCTCGCTCTTGCATATAAGTATAGAAAGAGATAGCAGTTCACCTTGACTTTACTGAGAAGAATATTCAATTGTTATGCATCCATAACTCATGCTTGCCATCTGTTTTAGGACCATTTTTACTGCTACTTTGTGTTTTATTTATGTAATTTGCAACATAATTGTCACTACATTTTATTTGCTAAACGATCGATTGTCAACATAATTTGTGTATATTCCATTTTTAATTCTGTTGAAATAATAAGTGTGACGCTTCTATTTATTTATAAGTTTTTGTTTATTTATGAAAAGCAATAATTTGATTTATTAAAAGCAGTCCTGATACATTATCTCTTCTATGGTATTCAGTTTCAAAGCTATGCAATTACCAGACCCGTCTCCGTAATTTATACCAAATCCACAAGTCATTTGCATATTACCTAAGACCGATTGCAATTCAAACTAAAGCCAGATTCTTTGAAATCGTTCTATAGTAGAAAGGTCTGGAATTTATTTTTATTGGTCTAGAAAATACTTTGATTTACTTCTTTATTGGAATTGCACGTTTTGTTAAATGTTTTATTACAATTACAATTATAATTGTTGTATTTGAAAAGTTAGTAATACATAGTTATTTAAGGGTCTGATACAATTTGTTTTGTACCTTTTTTATCAGTTCAAAATAACTAATTAAGCGTAGTGAATTTTTGTTTTCTTTGTGTACACATAACATGTATTTAATGAAGTATTGGGAAAAGAATTGGCTCCTTTGACACAGTGCAACCTACTACAGCAGCCAAGACTTCCATGAAATGTATACAAAAGAGACCATAAATTAATTATGATGAAAAAAAAGTGTTACAAGGAAAAGATACCGTAATGAAATAAAGAAGGTCTTGATCTTGAACTTCAACGATCGTGAATAGGAAAATTAGATTTATGTAACTATGGTTTAATTTATTTAAATTAATTGACTGTTGTTTCCGTCTGACAGCACGTAATGATTTTCGAGATTATCTGAGCAAAAATGAGGGTTCAATCTATTGATTGCAGGGATTCGATCGACCCAATTGGAAAAATCCTACTGAGAATAGGTGCGCCATTAGGCCCAACGGCAAACATTCAAACCAATTTTTACAAGTGAGTTTTCATTCGATTCGTAATCTTAGAGCATCATAGAATCGGTGGAAATTATATTTTAATTAAAAACCCTACCAATTCCTTTAACACGATCGAGTTAATGTTAGCCGACTTTACTTTCCTTTTTATTAATTTCTATTCTACAATATTAAAAAAAAAGTATATTTCATGTTCTAAAAACACTAGAATACAATGACACCGGCTCCCACGATACACTTAAGACAATATTAAGTTGTTTTTGCTTTAAACTCATAAAGATACAGGGCCCTTAAGTGGAATTTTTATCCTCAAGTAAACCAGTTTGTAAGAATGCGTTGTAATGAAGCCAAGGTATTTCACAACAAAACTTAATAATGTTTACCTCAAATCTAACAATAAGTACTGAGATACACGATTTAAAGATGCCTTACTGAATATCTTATTCTTAACCTTCAAGTAACTCAACTATTGTCAGTAGCCAAAACCAGTAATTGATTTAAGAGCGATTGGAACATTGTAGTGGTAGAGCCCGCTTCAACATCTTAGCACGAATGGGCCAGCTCGCCCGGTGTAATACCACGGCCACACAGAAAACAGGCGTGAAGTGGAAGCAATTCCGCGTTTCGTCTGATGAGTGTGGTGCCGGAGGCCTAATTTTAATACCTTTCCCTTTCCACCCTTTTGTTAAGAGGAAAGCATGGGAGGGAAAAGTGGATTTGACGATGGAGGAGACGAAAAGGAAGGGAAAATGTTCTCTTTACTTGCGTCTCCTCTTCCGTCAATTAAGGGTAGGCAACGCATCTGCAATTGCGGATGTTTATGGGCAGTGGTCGCTTTCCATTTCGGTGGATTCAGGTGGCCGCTTGCTCGTTTGCCACCTTATATTATAAAAAAAAAACATCACTTTAATCTTTAACAGACAATACAATAATAGATCGATCGCTCTGTTGACGATAGATCAGGGTTTGCAATTGTGATAATTAGATCGCGCTATTCGATTAAAAATCAAAAATGGTTCAACGATTACACATTCCGTAGTTCTCCCTGTACTATTTCCCAGTTTTTTGTTAGAGCTGTAAAGGGCATACGTTGTAATCTATTTGCAGTGTGACGGAGCCGAATGCACAATTTTATTTTCACAGTTGCTATTTTTGCCTAATATATTTACAGCGTCCGATGCGGCGGTCAATACGTTAGTGTGGAAATGTGCACATACATTGTCTATACGGGTGTTTGTGCGTTTAATGCTTAGTAAATAAAAGAGATAGATTGAAGTTTTTTTATGTCTAACTAGGAAATTATGAAATGATTTTTTCCGAAACTAATTTAGGTTATTTAACCAATAACTATGGTATTATATTAATGATGTATTGAATAGTTTTCCTATAATATTAGTATTCTTAGTCTATACTTCTATACTAATATTATAAAGAGGAAAGTTTTGTGTTTTGGATATCTGTGTGTTGAGATAACTCAAAAACTACTGGACCGATTTCAAAAGTTCTTGCACCATTAAAAAGCTATGTTATCACTGAGTCCTACTTTTAATACTATTTGTTAATAATTTTACCCTGGCAAAGTCGCGACCAACAGCTAGTCATATCGTATCAATCGTACCCGAAGTCGCAGAACATCCTTTCCTTTGTTTCTACTTTCCTTCCTATTAGAGGCTGACGATGCATTCTTAACCTTGGTATTTTAAAAGGCTTATTTAAACATAAACAAAAACTCGATATTTAAAGATGACATGGTATTATTTGCATTATATATATTACTAGCTTTTGCCCGTGACTAAAACCGCGTGAAATTAAAAATAAAAAATTGCCTACGTGTTCTTCCAGACTATCCTCTATATATATGATAAATCTCATCAAGATCCGTCCAGCCGTTTAGACTACAAACCCTGTCAAAACCTTATCCAACTTTCGCATTTATAATATTAGTATGATTTGAAAGCATATAATTTAACTTAACAAAGTAAACACAACAAGAGTTAATTAAAATAATGTATTAACTAATATATCATATAGTGTTATTAATTTTCCGTAGTGTTACCAGTGTTGACATTGAGGTCGCGAGTTTAACGAGGTCGAGTTTAAATTGTTCTATTTTTAAAAAACCTTTCAAACTGCGTCGAAAAAGACTAGTTTTAAAATGTCGGTTAGTTACTCATATTTCCACATAGTCTACGACCAAGTGTGTTATGGGAAAGAACATGCCAGGTGTTGGAACCAGCCCGAATGCAAGACAAGTCGTGTTGTGTAGTTGGTATTATTACAAAGTTATATTCAGTAAAGTTTAATGAGTGGTAGAGCCAGCTTTAACATCTTCGCACGAATGGGCCGGCTCGCCCGGTGTAATATCACGATCACACAGAAAACAGGCGTGAAGTGGAAGCAATTCCGCGTTTGGTCTGATGAGTGTGGTGCCGGAGGCCTAATTTTAGTCCCTTTCCCTTTCCACCCTTTTCTTAAGAGGAAAGGATGGGAAGGGGAAGTGGATTTGACGGTGGAGGAGATGCATAGGGAGGGTAAATATGCTCTTCATGTGCGTCTCCTCCTCCGTCAATTAAGGGTAGGCAACGCATCTGCAATTGCGGATGTTTATGGGCAGCGGTCGCTTTCCATTTCGGTGGATTCAGGTGGCTGCTTGCTCGTTTGCCACCTTATATTATAAAAAAAATGTTTTATTTCTGTACATTTACGTTTTTAATGAAAACAAATTATTGTAAGTAATTGTTCAGACGACATCCCTAACCGAAAGATACTATGTTCTGATGACTAAGAGTCTAATTTACCTTGGGACATTACCCTAGAAAATTGGACACAAATAATAAATCATAAATTGCGTTTATAATTACAGGAAGCGTTGATTATCTTCACCTGACCTTGAGTACACTTTGTTTTTCGATCGCGGTCAACATACGATGCGCTTCGTTCAATTAACTGGTTTATGATTCAATCTTTTAAGAGAAACAAGAGCGATCGTACTTTATTTTAAATTAAAACAACATTCTCACGAGGGTAATAACCTGAATTTAACTCAAAGAGCACTCTTGGAATCTATGTAGTTTAAATTATTGACAAAAACAATACTTTAATTTTTATAATTCTAAAATGATTATTAACGTTGTAATATTATCTACTTATTTCTAAATTCGAAAATGTTATCATCCTCATCATCATCACCGGCTCACTATACATCCGCATCGGTGATCGGAGCCTACTCGAAATTAGGGTGACTAGGCTATAGTTAACCAAGCTGGCCAAGTGCGGGTTGGTTGACTTAATATCTTTGAATATCTTCGCCGATGTGCGTAGGTTCTTTACCGATGTTTTCTTTTCACTGTAAGAACGTCGGGTAAATTATGCAAATTCGAAAAATTATATTGGTTGGGAGGGATTCGAACCCACGACTTGTAGATTACATATAATATGCTAAGTTAATATATTGGATTATTTATAACATGTGTAATTTCATCTGATATCAATAATCTATTGGTCAACCGCATGCGGTTGTACGATGTTACGATAAATTTGCAAGCGTTTCCGGAATTAATTTTGTTGACTTTTATAAATCCTCGTTTGAATGTACAATCGTGTTTACATCCACAGTCACGCATTTACATTTAAACATTTTGGCAGAAAAAGATATTCAACGTATGTATTAATAGACAGGACAACACGAACGATACTACGTAAAAGTGTGTACCACTTGGAAACACAACTCCTAATGTTTATTTCAATATTTTTGGATATACATTTAGCAATACGTCACAGATATATATTTTTAACTTTTAAATTAACGTCACTATCTCACCTACTAGTGAAAATATTTTGTTTTCATACTAAACGTTTTTTTGCTATGAAAGATTTTAATGAAAGGCCATTAATGTCTTTGTACTTAAATTCCTGTAAACAGGTTTTCATTCCCATTTTTGTAACTCATATTTATATGCTGAATTATATGCCGAATGTTTCTATGCTTTCAACACTGAGGATCCTTTTAAATAGAATGTAAAATAATAAAATAAACTTACTATGAACTCGCTGTACGTTCCGAATAATTAAAAATAAATAAAAAACATTTTTTACCCAATGGTTGCCTAAGGTAAGGTACCCTCTATCTAAGAATTCCCTGCAGCAGAAAGTTAACTTGGATATGAATAAACTCGTGAAAATGAATCCGAGTTTTTAATAAAATTATTTCTTTTTATAATTAAGTAATTTTTAGAGATGAGATTTTTAGTTGCGTCTCATTTGTCGACAGAATCATGAGAGGAGGTTAATAAGTTTTTAACTTAAGTTTTATTTTGTTACAGGTCGATAATGCGTAATTTACTAAGCATTACGCTTGTAACAATTGCATTTGATTACGTGTACTCCCAAGAGAATAGAGAGCATCAAGGTCCACAGACATGTGGAGGTCATTTAAGGGGTCACGTGGGTACAATACAGACCCCAAATTTCCCGAATCCATTTCCTGTGCCTATCAAATGTCGATGGATTATCGAACACGATGTAATCAACGGCACGATATCGATATATTTTACACAACAGTACACCACTAGTGGACTCACGTTTACTGAATATATGTACTACGATGAGTCGTATAAACTTGGTGAAAGAAGAGCTTTGACGGTGACGGAAGAGAACATCACTAAAATAAAATGGTTACAGGTAAAGTTAAAAGTTAATTATGTTTAAATATTTATGTTCTCGGGACCTTGAATTTAATTTTACAACATTCAATGTCAAGGTGACTGTGGTTTTATGCGTTAATCGTATATTTTTTTTTTTGAATCTGTCGATTAACAAATAAAAGTTTGTAAAAAAATATACTTTGCGAGAGGGTAATTTTTAGGGTATATTTTATGAATGAAAAAGGCGTATGTTACTTTCAACATAAATGTTAGTGGTATAAATGGCTTATTCTGATTTAGTATAATGTGAAATATAGTGAATTTGTTCCAAATAATTTTGCAATTCAATTGTACTATATCCGGTCGTAATAGTCGAGGCAAAATATTTTTTTACAAAACATTACGTAACTTCTACCTTTGATTTGAATTTTAAATCTATATAGAATTCACTAGAATTCTCAGAAAATTACGCCGAAAATGGTGAACAGTCTTAAATCACCAGTTTTCAGAACTTTTTTTTGTTAGCAGTCGGAGCCATAAGTGTAAACTCATCTCATCCACAGGACATTTAATTTGATGTTTTCAAATTTTTCTTTGTAATTGTGATTCTATGAATTATTTACTTCACTATTGTCTTCTGTTATTGTTGCCAATTGATTTTGTACCTAATAAATTTCTTTTTAGGTCCAAAGTCCCGTCCTGGTAGTAGAATTATCTTTAGATAGATTAGAAGGAACACAGCTGAGAGCACTTGGTCTTCTCTCCGTGTTCGGGTTCAATGTAACATACGTGGTGCAGAAACCTCAGGAGCCGCCTGGACCTCCGTCTTGTAGTGCTATTGAGTGTCGATTGCTGGGACATTGTTATGCAAGGCATGATTACAAGTGAGTACGTTTAGGACATTTACCATGGTGAGATTTGTGTGAAATTTACAATGGACAAACCGGCGATACTGAACATGTTATTTGATATTGTAGGGAATTCTTCTGCTCGTGTTTCGAGGGGTACTCAGGTGTGGACTGTGGTGTAGGCCCGTTGTGTCCAAAAACATCAAATATGTGTAAAAACGGTGGAACTTGCAGGTAAATTATTCACTTGTTTTCACTAACTTTTATTCAACTTAATTTAACTGTTTTAACTGGCTACCTGCCTTCAGAATAAATTTTAAAGTTTAATTCTACGATTCCTAAAATTCATATATGATGCAGACAGATGGGCCCCGCGGCTGTGAGCTGCATTTGCGCTCGTAATTACACGGGCGATCTCTGCGAGTCGAAAATTGCCGCACCAGGTAAAGTCTTCCATACGCACATATTTCATACGTAGGTCGTACGATATATGCGAGTGCCAAGTTTTGGACCAGGATCTTGTAGATAAAGCGAGGTGAATGGAATTAACAAGGAAAGTTGACCCGACTACTATATGGAAGGGCTAGAAAGAGAGAGAGTACGTTCGTCCTTTTTAACAATGGGTTTTAAAATAATAACTATTGGTTATAAAATAATATTTTAGATTGAACTTAGAAGAATGTCAACAAACGTAAAATGTTTTCTTTTTATCTTAAATAAAATTATTTTCTTCTAGAATGTGGAATCGAAGAATGTTTCGAGGGTTGTTCCAAAAAAAGCGGTTGTGATTGTAATCCAAGAGAAAACGACTTCAGTGAGTGTTGAAATATACAATAATAATTTTAATACTAAAATTTTAATTTAAGTTTTTTAAGTATTATCTGAATAGGCTTGATTAATATAGCTACAGGTGTATTTATTTCTAGCGTCAGCTCGGTTTGAGACAAGACTGCAAATTGTTGATCAAGGAAGTAGTAATGTAACCCAAGAAATTAGTAAACAGGTATGAATTTTTATCGTTTTTCTTTATTTTAAGTTTGTTTTCGTCTTCGATAACCTTAAAATATGTTTTTCAGGTAACAAGTTATTTAAAGGCGTCGAATATAACCTTAGACGATGAGATTGAAATATTAAACATAAGGTAAGGAATTATTACATTTGTTTTAACTATCTAAAAATATGTAAGATAATGTTTTTACTTATATCTAAGAAGTGGACCTTCATTTTTCATAACAACCGCAGACACATCAGTGAAAATTGGACACGCATCTCTTCTGCAAATGACGACTAACGCGTCTGTTTCGTAGAAATATGTCTATTTGTCTTTAGAATTCAGGTATTATTGAATATATTGATGTATTGGCGTTTGTAGTGATTTGGACACAAACGGCGGTCGTTCAGTGTGGCTGCGCGTGTGGAGCCCGCGGCGGGAGGCGGGCGCGTTACGGGCAGCGTTGTCCCGCCTGGCAGCGACCCGCGCCCGTACAGACCGTCTGCGGCTGCTGCCCGCCACTTTGCACTTTGATATGCAACCAGCACTCAGTCTGCATGTGTGTAAATATTGTTTTTAATATACAATTCTAACGTTTATTTCAATGTAAATTCTTTTGTGTTCAATGTGGAACATTTCTTCTTTAAAATTCCTGTTACTAAGCTTAATGTTTTATTTTAGGCATTAATAGTTAACCAACGTCCAGAGGTTTGGGAAGGCTCAGAGTTCATTCTTAGCTGCATGGCTTACGGTTCACCAGACATCAATTTTACTTGGTACAAAGATGGTGTGAAGATTAACTTTAATGGAACTACTAGGTATATTTATTTATAATATTTTACGATTATCCTAGTATTGATAGAACGTTAAATATTCACTGAAAAAAGGGTGATAACCAAAACATTTTAAATCGATTAACGAAAATCTATTTAAAAATCAATATTTCTTGAAGTAATTCCGTTAAAAGAGGCAACTGAGTGTTGTTCGCTAACTTATAATAAAATGTTTAAATTTCTCGCTTTTCTATCTACTTAATTAGTTAGTAAAGTTAACACGTCTCTCGAGGTCAGATGCCACGGCCTTGCTCCACTCTTCAACTTGATGACCGCTTATAAAGTACTAGAAATCAGGTCCCCCTAAAGCCGTCAACTCGTTTATATTTAGGTCTATTATTTATTGTTATAAAAAGCAATGAACAACTCAGATTAGTTTACAATAGATTCTAGATACGAAAAATAAAAGTCAGCCATCAAGACACAGAGCTTTGTATAGAACAATTTAGCTTCGATTCATCATAATACGAGTATTTCTTTAAACAATAATTCGATGGACACTAGGCTAGTTATCTAGTAGACTTGTTAAAATACAGTAAAAGTGTATAGATTCTCTATTTCAAAATCTTGATTCAGTTGAAAGTATTCAGGACATGTCTTGCCCGAGGCAATGCGAGGCGTCCCCGTCTCGATATACTTGTGTACTTTATTACAACAATTTCTTTTTAAATACAAATCAAATTCCCTAAGCGAGACATATCCTCACCAGACCTCGCTTGAGGCAATGTCTTCCAAGTTTCCAGTAATCCTTTGGAGTTGTTAAGATTTCATAAAATATACATTTCATTTAGAGACATATGGACGCGTACGGTAGCAGAAGACGCGTTGGGCCGACGGATGTCAGTTCTTGGGGTATCAGAAGCTCGGACTCTCGACAGTGGACGATGGTCTTGTTCAGCTGACGACGCGGGCAGGCGACGCTGTAGAGCCTTGCGCCTGTTGGTGCTGCGTCCGCCTGATATACGACTTGTACCTTCAGCTTTAACGGTCAATAAGGTAAGAGTTAAAGAATCTAAACTAACAAGAAACATTACAGAAAATCTGAGAGTGTACACGTCAGGTCCGATTAAACAGCAATATTGTTGTAGTTGTCCTCTATAAGAGTTGGCCTGTTCTTACAAAATCAACTGAATTATTTTGTCTTTTCTGTTACCTTGCTGAAATTTCTAGTGCCCTTCTTCCTAGCATATCTTTCTCATTTACCATTTTTCTGATGCTAAATAAATTAACCACAGAACACTCTTTTTGTACAGGGTGATAACGTAAGCATAACATGCTTGGCTGGCGCAGGCAGAATACACGGTGCCCTTGGATTCAGTTGGGCTAGAGAACGGACCCTTTTAAAACTTGCTCCTGGAAGAGAAGTCTGGGAAGACTTATATCCTGCTGGAAGCGTGTTAAAATTATACAATGTGCAAGTAAGAAGAATTTAAATATTAGTTTTTGTCGAAAAATGTCATACTTTTTTTTTGTTACCTGGTTTTGTGTCCAAAATGTTTTTCATCTATGTAGTTTCAAATCTACACAGAAATCTAGCGAGTTTCGGTGCCAAGTTTCATCAGTAGCGGGAACCAATTCGAAAGGTGTTACGATGTGGGCTCTCGGAGAGAAAGATGAAGCTTGTCATTCTGAAGCATCCCATGGTCTTCGCTGGCCGAAGACTGCGCCAGGGGCACATGCTACTGCGACATGCCCACCAGGACACACAGGAGAATCTACTAGGTACATTTATATACTAGGTTTTAGGATTTCAGAAGAAGAATGTCTTCTATAAAATAAATATTATTTTTAGGTTCTGCGAGCCGAAAACAACACAACATGGTGTAAAATGGATGCTTCCAGATTTTTCTGGTTGTGTAGCTGATTCATTACGTGATATTTATGAGCAGGTACACTAAGATTTTATTTAGAGCGCGCACACCGTTGACTAAACTATCGTATAACTGTTCAGTCTCGCTTTGATTCCTATTATTCAATTTGCTGCGAAACAATAGACAATCGCACACCAGTTGCGCGATAGTTTAGTCAATGGTGTGCGCCTAATGTAGACCGATAACATTTTTCTCTACTTACACATGAATACTTCATCAATTGTTTAGCTTACTTTAATAGTTAAATAATAATTGCTAAAGTGCCCAATAATTCCAGTTTACACGCGTCTCCTATGGCTACTCTTGGACTAAAGTATCTGATGTCGCACATCAATACGGAGCCATACTTCGTTCTTTACCAGCTCATCCTGGTGAAGGTGCGATACCATTACGTCATTCCCGGAACATGGTTCAGTATTTGCTCTCTGCAGCTGGAAGTCCAAAAGACAGAGTCGAGAGTACAGAATATTTACTAAAGATTTATGATACCCTGCTGAAACATCCTGATGCTTTTCTTGATGAAGAGGTATGTTTTAAAATAATTTATAGTATACTAATTTAAAATGACTCCAAGGCTAAAACAAAAGAATTATGCTTAATTTGTTATCAAAGGAATATATTTAATCTGATTCTATAATTGCCTTGAGTTTTAATCACAGAAACATTGTTGAACAACAATTTAATCTCGTTTATGAGCAACGAATGTATTAATACAAAAGACACTAAGTAATGTCGTTAAAATTTTATTATCTTTATAAAATTTCGAGAATGTTCGTTTTCTTAATGTTAATGTAATTAAAGTCTACGAGTTGAAGCCACTCCTTTAATAAAGGTTAATTACAAAGGTTTATTATTTTTACCTGAGCTTTGTGATCTTAATACAGTTTTATTCATTTTCATTGAGGCAATGGAAATTATAAAAATCGCTACCAATGAAATTTAATACCTAGAAGTGTTTTAATTAATAATCTGATCATCGATGCTTGTAAATAGATATGGTTTTGCAAATTTAACTGTAGAAGTGACATTAACTTTGTTGTAGAAAATTTACGAGCTACAAAACGCAGTAGTTGAAACAGCGGGAATGAAAGAGAATTTGGACATAATGAATCAAGAATTTACAGTACAAACTAAGTCTGTTAGAGACGATAATGCCGCTCACTTCAACTTTGCACCAACATCTGGCCATGAATGGATCCTCACGTCTGCAGGTGTGGAGCTAATAGCGCGGTCTGGGAATGCTTCGGTGGTGTTGGTGCAATATAATGATTTAACTTCTAGACTACCTTCTCTGAGAAGATCGATCGAGCTTAAGTAAGTAATAGGAAATGTTGAAAATTTTTCAAGGGGTAATATGGTACTTTTAACCATGAATTCAATTGATTAAAAGACCAGATCAGTAAATTTTGAAACTTGGGATTTATGATATAAATATATAAATATGTGGGACTTCAATTCTTAAAAAAAAAGTGATTATAATAAATTTAATTGAATATGAATTTTTGCAGAACAATCAAATCTATTTAATAAAAATGTTTTCATTGTTATGCAACATTTTGCTTCCCTTCCTTCGCGTATTTAATGAAGCTACATCAAAAATGATGAGACCATTATCTTTGTTTATCCTAAGTACTTCTTAATACTTGAAAAGTTATTTCGATAAGTATTTCATTTTAGCTTCTTAAGACGGATTAGGAATGGGTATTTTTTTTGCTATTTGATAGAATACGTTCGTCAACAGAAAATGAATCACTTTGTGTTTAGATTACGTTATAAAAAACGTTACAAGCTTCTCCTTATCAAAGAATTAAAATTTAACGGTAAATTTTGACGTACTTAAAAAAACCTATTTAGAAAATCAAACCTCTTTCCTTGATTAACGTTTTAGTATACATTTAACCGATGTTCCAGCCGCTCATTTTCAAGAAATGGACGTGAACTGGAATATATTCCGGCGTCACAGCAAATACAAGTGTCTGCTTACGGCAGCGTGGATCAATCTTTGCAGCACTCGGTTACCCTACTATTTACACATTCCAAGAACTATAGTGCGATAGGTAAGATAGTAAGATTTAAAAGTACAAGGCTACAGTTAACATTTCCATTATTATTTTCTTGCTTTGTTTTCACTTTATTGTTTAATTTGTGTCTTCTGTATCGATCCATCTTCAATAATTTCAGTAATCAAACCTTTCTTCATTTTGTCACCTACGATTTTATCTTTTAACGCTGTGTTTTTAAAAATTATTTGTTAATCTTTTATCTCATCTTAACAGCATCAAAACTAGCGTGCGGTCTGCGAACGCCATCAGAACCTCGAGAGTGGAATGTCAAGGCGTGTGAAGTTCGTATACCAGAATCTACATTTGTGTCCTGTCGATGTCGAGGTTTCGGTACCTTTGCTCTCTTCACTATAGCTAGATCAAAACTGGTAAGTCGCAAAATAATGTTTCTAAAGTTTCTTAATTTGTGTTCACATGTATTTATGATATGATTCATTTAAAGCCTCTGTGGTTCCGAGTTAGATAGTTGATAAGATTGATATAAAGAATAAAACTAGAACAAAAGAATAAACATATGAAAAGTTACGGAAAAGAGTTCAAATCACTCAATCTTTTTTACCAGACTGATGTAGAAAAGGATCTAAGAGGCGTGGTTAAGGTGACTGTTGGACTGGGTGGGGCGATGTGCCTGACCGCAGCGGCATTACAGTTGCTAGCACTGGTGCCTGGCAGGAAACCTCGTCTGCCAGTGCTCCTGAAGGCCGCCACCGCGGGCACGCACTCCGCGGCCATACTCACCTTGCTGGAATGTGACACTAGACAGGTGAACACTGTACTTGGTAATTGCGAAATTATGCCTTTGGTACAGATAATTTTCAACATATATTTAAAATTTTGTCTATTACAAATTACGTACTAATTACGATTTAGTTAGACTAAGCATATCTCTTAAATTAATTATGTTCTTTTTTAAAATTAACGTCTGTTACAATTGTCTACATTTTACGTGCTATACTAGTCAAGATGTCTAAATGCCAATAGGAGGAAGCATGTCCGGGTGCATTGGGCTGGGTGTGCGCGGCGTGCTGGTGCGCCGGCTGTGCGGCGCTCTGTGCTCAGCCTCTAATGCTGCAAGCGGAGCTGGCTGGCAGGGGACAGCGCGCACCCTCCGTAGGCCTCGTCGCAGGTAAAGTACCAAAACATGATTTTGTATTGTAACTACAACAATACCTCATTTACCAATCATCTGAATAAAAAATATCTTTGTTCAATTTAGCTGTTACTCGCGACTTCGCCTGCGTGAAATCAATAAATATAGCCTATGTTACTCACTGATAACTTATTTATTTAATAGTAAAAGGATGAAATCAGTACTTTTTGAGTTATTTCAATACGTTCAAAAAAATCTTTCCTCTTTATATTAGTATAGAAAAGTGTATTTACTTAACTTGCTAAAATAGTTTGTTAAAGACCTTGACGAAATTTGTGTCAATACGTTACCACTATCAGAAATGTATAAGCTGCATATATTACCATAAGTACATTCTCCAACTGGTTCTTGTTCCATATAACCTATTTAAGTACAAGTTATGTAAAGGTGATGTTTATTTACATTGACACGTTTTTACATGTAGTACTGATAAATACGGTTTAAGGTGTTGACTGTACACATGCCGAAACTTGTCGACTCTTCAGAATTTCTTCAATTATTCTGCCTTATTTGCCTACTGAATTAAAAAATTTAGAGTATCTTAGCGTTCTTTAGTAACAATAAAGCGTTCACTGTTAAGTAATAAATCGAAAAGTGGATGTATTGTAAAAGTAAAATTGAAAAGTAAACAGATAACTTTTGTTGGCAGGTGTATGCACTCTCGCGTGGCTGACAGCTCGGCTGTGGGGCGGGGCGCCGCTGCAAATAGGCTCGGCGGCGCAGGTTGTGTGCGCTGCGGGTTGCGTCCTATTAGCATTGCTTTGTTTTACTTTAGCGTTATGTGTATCTTTACGGTTAAGGACTATAACACATAAAATACCAGCGGAAAGAAGAAATTATCTTAAAGATCGGTGAGTTTATTGTCTTAAGATTTTTGTTACATTTTAGTATTTAACACTAATTACTAAAATCTGCTCAGTAGTTTTTGATTTGTTTCAATACATACAAAAGTACAAAAAAAAGTCCAAACCTTGCCTTTTTCTAATATTAGTATAGATAAAGCGCAAATAGCCTAATTGTTGGGGGTACGGATTTCCGATAACGTGGTCGAGGGTTCGAATCCCGCCATTCGAATGTTGTAAACCATACCCTAGTATAACCCTAGACCTTACTTGAAATGGTAAAAGAAATACTAGCAAATTAGAAAAAAATCTACTTATATTTAACAAAAAAAAAATACAAACTAGTCATTAAATTACAATAGACATCTCGATATTAGGTAACAAATCCAGATTGGTGTTGAAGGTTAATTATTTTTAAAATGAAAGTTCTGTAATTAAATTAATTAGAATCTCTATAAATTCCATTTGGTTTCTCTTAGTCGCCGCGTGGTGCGGCACACGCTGGCGCTGTTGTTCACAACGTCTGCGGCGCAGGCGACAGGCGTTTTGTACGTGCAGCCCGGAACACACCACATCGCTCAGGTCGCCGCCTTCTCTGCAGCGGTACTCGCTAACGTAAGTCTACATTACATTGTACAAACTTTCATCATCATCATCATCATCATCCTCGTCCGTTCACCATCCTACGTCCGCCTAATCGATGTATCCGAAATTTCAGTTACCATTTCCTTAATCATTATAAACCAGAACGTTTTAATATTTCATTGGATGGCTGTAAAGGTAGAGGAAGACCGAAGAAAGTATGGATGCATTGTGTGAAATAGGATATGCTTAAGAAGAGACTGAATTCAGATGTGACGGCTGATAGAAATGTATGGAAGAGCAGCACATACTGTGCCGACTCCTCAAGAGACAAGGCAAATTGATGATTTCCTTCATAATTTTGACACCTTTATTTAAACATGCCTGAGACATAACACTCGGGTATAGGAACGTACCTGTTTCTAATACCTAATAGTACACTTTAATAATTGATCGTTCAATAAGACTGATTGCACGAATAATGAAATGCAAACTTATTGCTAATTAAAGCTTATTGAAAATTGTGGTGCAGTAAATTGTAATTATTATATACAAACTTATTCTCAAGATCAGAAGAATCTTAGTATATTGCGTAGTTAACTTGCGTGAAGTATAGGAGCGAGAGCGCGTCTGACATTCTAATGGCATTCTCAGTGTGTTGGATAAAATCAATATCCAGTTCGTAAAGTGTTGGTTTGAGTTCCACGATAAATGGTTTACTAAACGAGCCGCGAGTTTACTAAGCTATTCAATAAAATGTTTCTTAACTATTTTTCAATACACAATATTTTCTATTTATTTATAGAAACAAGAATCTTCAGAGTTTTTAATGTTTTAAGCGCGCACACATTTGACGAAACTATCGCACAACTGTTTAGTCTTATTTTGATTCCTATGAGCTTACTCTAGTAGGAATCTAAGGGTGTGGTCATGGTGGAGTTACTCATTAAATCACCGTTGTAAACCTTTCGTATTTTAACATTAGGGTGTGGCCATGCTGGTATGCTACGTGATCCACGACGACGAGTGTCTACAGTCCGCCAAGCGGGTGTTGTCGCTGCCCTCACATCGAGACTGGGAGGATTCGCCAGCTGGTGATACTTCACTTAGCTGTAAGTAACCTAGCCATTTTCATAATTTAAGACTAGAAAGCTAATACATATCTATCTAATCAGCCATATGCCGCCCACGTAGGCCTCTCACAAAGATCGCCACGATGATAGGATCTAAGATACTCCCGTAGAATTGGCCAGATCATCGGTGTTATAGCTCTTGCATTTGAAAGCTTATAATCACGTTATTGAATCATACAAACTATTGTAGTGTACATTAAGCAAGGCGGTGAGGTTGAGAGTCGAGGCGGGGTCGGTATACTGGAATCAACATCATCCCCCGTGTCCCCCATCGCGTCTTACTGGCGAGCGCCCGGCCTGGAGAGTCCCGCGGGAATGCATAGGTAATACATTAAAGGTAAAACATATTTGTACACAGGATTATTGCTTACGTGGTGTTGGGTGATTTTTAACAAACATACTTCAACGGTCGAAAACTCATACTAATCGCATGGCATCTGATTTTCGACATATTTAAATTCAAACAGAATAGGTTCATGACACGTAATAAATGTTCAACAAATTAAGAAGGATATTTTATCACTCCTTCCATCTTCTTTCTTCTAATTTTCATCTTAAAGATATTTTAAGTAACCCTGAATAAATTTTGTTTCCTTGCACATTTGTTTTGCAGATGTATTTGGCATAAAATTTTATATAAATTTTATTTACAGACGACAATCTACACCGGACAGTCGCGCAGACATAGTGCGTTGTGTAGAATTTAAAGACTCAGTACTAACACCTCATCGCTATGAATCCAGGCATATAACCACAACGCATGCGGTCTGCGATCTCATACCACAATCACCACCACAAAGGGACTATATAGCACGAGTTTGTCTCGAACTAGGAGTTGTGAATAGTCCCCCGCGTAGAGAATCCCCCGTACCACTCCTCGCTTGTTCCGTAGACTTCGAACCTTATGAAAAAAGATTCGATACATCAAAAGAATCTTGCTCAATATGTGTACAATCTAATCCAGATGTATCCAGGATACCTTCACCGCCAATTAAGAGCTGTTTGAAAAAGAAAAATCCAGAATTCACTTCCAGTATTTCTCTACCGTCTATGGACGTGGTGAGTGATGAACCTAAAGTGAAATCGGATATCGATCAAGTAAACAAACAGTGGAATATAGCTTACGATTCTCCTGAAACTAATAAAATGTTAAGTAAAATATCAAATGATTTAGATTTTTTATTAAACAGGACAAAATTGACCAAAAACAATTTGAATGATCATATAGAGAAAGATCCGACTTAGTTTATGGTTTAAAAAATAATTTAAGATATAATTGATATTAAATGGATACAGGGGTGATTTAGCTAAATACAAGTTTTAAATTATGTAAATAATTTTTATCATAAATCTAATTAAAGAGTTTTAAACTTTGACGTTAAACGAGGCGATGCCGATTTGATACTCATATTAACGTGGTTAATTTTGTCAAAGGTTTATTTTCAAGCATGTTAGTTTTAAGTACAGTATTTTTTACTATATTACTTAAAATATGATACAAATTATTCGTATTACAAACTTACATGTCTTAATTTAAGATAATAATTTTAATTTGCTTATGATTTCATTTTAGTTAACTTTGTTTCTTTTGTCGATTACAATTTTTAAAACCCAAAATTATTTAAAGAAGAATGAATATTTTAGTATATTAGCTGTGCGTAGAAAGTTTGCCGATGACTCCCTTTCCTAATATCATCGACCGTGTTCCACTCTCGTCTGTTCAGTATCATCAATTATCGCGTGACGTCATGAGGCCATCGGCAAAGTTCTGCGCACGAGTAATAAGTTATTTTTTAAATCGTCTTTAAACATAAATACAATTAAAAACCGCCTTTTAAATTCGTTACAGAGAACTGTAATATCGATATAACAATAAGTATTATTTAATTAGTTGCAATAAACATTTTTAATTTTAATCCTAAGTACTTAAGATTTTTAATTTTAATAAGTTTGTGATTTTTTTAAGTTTTATATGTTATCGTACTATTACTAATTTACGTATAAGTCTTTTCAAATATCCTGGCGGTCAACGATCATCGGCCCACTGTGCAGTGTTCTACCTCCGCATCACTTTATGTCCCGGTATAACTAAAATTTTGTTCGACGCAGACTTGCGGTGGTCCCGAGCTGCCGAGATATCTGAAAACGATTACACAATACACAATTGTTTATTATCTATATTTTACTACTTTTCCATTAAAATTGTATTATTTGATTCGTACCGATTTGCATATTTAGAGGCTTTTTAATTTATTATGTTCTTTTACCACATCTTTGTACATCTTTTCTAAGATTCCCTAGTTATTTCAACTATCTGTTTCTGTAGGTATTGAAACCCCTATGTTGTACCGAATTCTTTCCTTTGAAAATATTTTTCCGTTTGTTGAAAATATACATAAATATGCATTTATGATTCGATTTTTAAAAAGAATAAAACACATGCAACTGCCGTTTATCGTATTTTTTTATTTACGCGTTTTTTGCATCGTCGAAAACATTTATAAAAAATGTTTGTCTCAGTTTTTTTCGACAGATAGATAGAGAAGAAAGAATGAAAATGCGACATTTTTTACGTTGTTATATTAGCATTGCGATTTTAACAATTGTTTAATCAGACCAATTAGTTCGGATTAATTTAGTATTTTAAACATCACATCATTTTATTAATTTCTCTAGTCAAAGTCATCATCGTTTAAAGTCGTACGTAGTACAAATATCTATACTAAAAATGCTAGTATTAATATATTTAAGTTTGTTTTAGTGAAGTGGAAAAGACCGTTATTATTAAAATTGTTCTGATATACGCAGTATTATGTTTTTTTAGATGTAAATATAATTTTTTTGTATAAGTGAATTTATTGAATTTCATTAAAAGTTAACAAAAAAATCTACATAAAACCTTAAATCATAAAACATTAAAATAGTTTTCATTTTAAATACATTTTTTTATGTTATTTTACAATATCAATTAAGAAAGTTTGGTCAAAATAACCTAGAAATCATTTTTCCATTTTATTGTAAAGTAATTTTAATTAAAAAACATGTGAATTTGATCCAATAGATAAAAAAATGAATATTTTGGACCATAATAAGAAAACTGTAAATACTAAATATTGTAGATATAGTTAAGGTTAATCTGTACGAATTGTAATTTATGTTAAAATTGATATGATATATTTTTGTTTATAAATACATTTTTTACCATTTAAATATTGTTTTATTTCATTGCACAAGACAAACATAACCTTACTTCTTTGCAAACATGTTCTGAATGCCAAAAATATACGTACACTACCTGTTCCCGTGCTATACCCGCATGAAATCATGAAAATTTTATTTAATTGTTTACATTTGTCCAATGGCTCAGTGGTTTGAATACTTGACTTGTAATCTACAGGTCTTGGGTTCGAATCCCGCCATGTACCAATGTGATTTTCGATTATTCGAATTTTCATATGTACATAATTTACCCGACGTTCTTACGGTGAAGGAAAACATCGTGATGCAACCTGCACATATCGGCGAAGAAATTCAAAGATATGTATGAAGTCAACCAACCCGCACTGGGCCAGCGTGGTTGACTATGGCCTAGTCACCCCTTATTAGGGTAGGCTCCGAGCCCCTCGGTGGGGACGTATAGTGAGCTGGTGATGATGATGATGATGATTTGTCCAATTATCAATTGCAAACGTCAAAATGACATCACATTACAATCCTTGGTAATCTTGCTGCCTTGATGTTGGCAGCAACCTATGGTCTCTTTCCCACATTAGGGTTTTTATCCAAAATATTTACCCCCTAAGTTTAATGGCGTGAAAATATATAGCCTAAAGCGTGACGTAAATGTAAGGCTTTTTATTAAAGAAAGAATTATTCAAAAATATGCTGTAATTGTTGACATCTTTGGCAACAAAGAAGTGTGTGTTTACGCTTTATTATAATAGTATAGATATAGATTATTTTAAACTTAGATTAATAGTTGTTTTAATGCATCAAAGCTAACCTAGACTGTGGTTAGTTCTGAAGCTATTGATTAACTTGTAAACAATACTGGCCAGTTTCAGTTCAGTAATTATTGGAGAGCGAATAGCATACTCGTAGTATGGCTTTAACATTTAGTATAACTTGCTATCTAGACTTACAGTTATTTTATTCAATGGTTTATTGGTAAAAACAATAAAATCCTGATTTAATTTTTAGTAAACAACTAGCTTTCGCCCGCAACTCCGTCCGCGTGGAATTGAAAAAAAAAACAAAAGTGAATAGCCTATGTGTTCTTCCAGGCTATCTTTTTCATCTATGTCAAATTTCATCGAAATCCGTGCAGACGTTTAGGCTACAAACTCTAACAAACATCCATCCATCTTAACTTTCACATTTATAATATTAGTAAGATAAGATTTTTGGTACATTTTGTACTGTTTCATATCAAATCGCATTCAACATTCTTACTAATATAAATGCAAAAGTTTTGATAAATGCATGTTTGTTAGAGTTTGTAGCCTAAACTGCTGAACGAATCTCGATTAAAAGCACAGATTCAGAACATAGTCTGGAAGAAGACTGGCAACTTTATTTTTTTTAATTACTATGCTATGTCTAATGTAAAATATATAAAATGTACTGTTATGGAGTAGTATGTTGGTTTGCCAATTTTTCCAACGCACATTGTGCCAAGCGCTGAGTTATGCAGCATTTCTTTACGCTGAAAGCAATAAAGTGTGCGTGTGAAGATACATAAAAAGCTTTACGGCATCATTTATTATTTAGTAACGACATTATTTCAACGGCATATAAATCGAGAGGAAATCTCTTTTTAAAATATAGCAATAAAGCTTTCGCCCGCGACTCCGTCCGCGTGGAATTAAAACACAAAAGAAAATAGTCTATGTGTTCTTCCAGACTATGCTCTACATCTATGCAAAATTTCATCCAGATCGGTTCAGTAGTTTAGGCTACAAACTCTAACAAACATCCATCCATCTAAACTATCGCATTCTTTTTATAATATAGGGTGGCAAACGAGCAAGCGACTACCTGAATTCACCGAAATGGAAAGCAACCGCTGCCCACAAACATACATAGGAGAAGACATTTTCCCTTCCTATGTGTCTCTCCCACCGTGAAATCCACTTTTCCTTCCCATACTTTCCTATTAAGAAAAGGGTGGAAAAAGAAAGGGACTAAAATTAGGCCTCCGCACCACACTCATCTGACGAAACGCGAAATTGCTACCACTTCACGCCTGTTTTCTGTGTGTTCGTGGAATTACACCGGGCGAGGCGGCACACTCGTGCGAAGATGTTAAAGCGGGCTCTACCACTGTTTAATATTATTAAGATAATGTTCTAGCTTCATTTGTTTGAGCAATCGCCTATCACAAACTCTACTTGAAAGAGGAGTTAAAATCAAAATTTTGGGTCTTTGGAGCTGCAGCTCCACTATGAATCGAGTGAAGAATGTGTTTGAAATAAAGATCACTACTTAAACTGCGCAATTTGGCTCTTTTACATGCTCTTGAGTGTAAATGTACTGCGCAATTGTCATGGATCCGTACACCTGTCCTTCACCATTTTACGAAACGACCTTCTTAAGAACTGGTTTAAATACGATCCTAAAACAAACAACTTTGATTATAAGCCTTGTATGTAATCAACAATACTTATTCTTTATTTATTTATTCATAAGTGTTTAAAATTGCTTTTGTCTTCAGTATTTTTCAATAATTTCCTTCTACAATTCATGAATAAATGAAGCAAGGAAAATATCGCGCTTTACAAAGCACTTTAATAAAATATATTCCGCGAATAAATTAGTTTGGCGCCATAAATAAAGGCGACGCCATTTACTGCCGACGTGAACTAAATTGTCCTTATTGTTCGGAATTATTCTAAGCTAAGGTTTCCATTGCTGGAACCCTACAAATATTGTCATTCCAATGTTATGAGGCTACAATCGTATACAGCTTGTTCGAGGTGTAACGTGTCATATTACGCCGCGTAACATCGGTAAATAACCTAAGACAGTCAAAATTAAGTGGTAGAAAATCATTCTAGTATTTGCCGTTAGGATTAAAAGAATTTTTAAATCCCTGTCTTAAGAAATGCTTTGGTTAAGCTCCAAGGATTTAGTGCTGAAAGTTTTAAAGTACGTATATTTTTTTAAAGTTTTTACCTAGTTCATAATTGAGCTGGGCGCTGTTGAATCGAAATGCCTCTAGCGTTTTATTACCAACGGGAAATGAGATCCGACGAAACAAGACCTTTAGTTAGGAGTTTTCAATGTTCTTTTAATAAATAAAATATTCTTCTTGTTCTTTGTAATAACTAAACTGTGGCTTCTTTTACGATTAAGGGCTGATATAGACCGACTGGATTATCAATTAAGGGTCGCTATACACCGACTACAGTGTGCAAAGAATTGTAGATTTTGTTTGTTGATTTATGTTCCTGTATTACATCGTAATTAATCGTAATAATGTTAAAAGTTTTATGTACATAGGACAGTATACATAGGAGCCATCGTATATACGTTCTTGTTTACTTGTCGACATTATTTTCGTATAAAATAACATGTATTAACATTGTAAACAGATGTAACACCATAAGGTACGTTCTTAATGCAATCGAGTATCGTGTACAAATAGATTTGATACGTTCACAAGCGGGCCAACGACTGATTAATTCTGCAATCGTATAAATACATTCAGCTTTTGCAATGAAACACTCCAGGAATAAACGTCTGCAATTTCATGAGTCACGATACGCTGTTTATGAAACGATATACTTGTTTATAACTTTTTAATCAATGAATTACTTGATAATGGGCCATATTTTTTTTCCATGTCGAATATGATTTGACGTTTGTGATTTTTTAGAACAGATTATTTGCTCATAAAAATTACCAGGCGCTTTTAGTAATATTTCGTAAATCTCATTTTTTAACATGTAATATGACCTATGAGATTAAATTACCCTTAATTTTATCAATACGTTTCTTCCATATAATTCAACTAAGGCTAAGGCATATAGATATTTCTACAAAATCTATTTAAGGTCAAACTAGATAAAGATACATAATCTCCTTTGAAAATTGCGTGTCTCGGTGAAACATTATTGTAGTAGAGAACAACTGTTGTCTGTTAATATCGTAGACCTGTCCCTGTCTCCGACTTAACGTGGGTCTTAATGACTTTATATCGTTAAGGCTATCAAGGACAAACATAGCCTACAGACCTACTCTTATAAGTCGCAATTAACGCAAAACATATAGCGAATTGTAATGTTTTTACCGCGCATTTACTTGAATTCCTTTGCTATTAACTTCTTTATATTTCAAGTTTTTATTGATTAACTATTTATTAAACACTAGTTTTCGCCCACAACATCGTTCGCGTGAAATTAAAAAAAAAACTAAGTAGCCTATGTGTTCTTCCAGATCACACTCTACATCTATGCTAAATTTCATCGAGATCCGTTCAGCCGTTTAGGCTACAAACTCTAACAAACATCCATCCATCTAAACTTTCGCATTTATAATATTAGTAAGATTAGTAAGATAGTAATAGCACATAGGTAAAAAGAATGATTCCAAATCAGAACAATTAAGAATAGACAAAAAGAGCAGATGAATTGAGAAGCTTCTTTTTAAGAAATCGGTAAAAAATGATAGACAATATTCGTCGATATTCGACGTAGTACCAAAGAGTAGGTAATTTATCAAAGCCTTCCCTAGTAATAGAAACAAATAGTACTTTGTTTCTGAGAAATGTTTGGCAATAACGGC